ATTATTATTATTATTATTATTATTATTATTATTATTATTATTATTACTTTGTTTGATGTTATTTCTAATGTACAATTCCTCCACGAACCCCTCTTCTAGTTACCTCGAACTGGTTTGACTTCTCGAGTATCTTGCAAAACATGTCGATGTTGCCCGCAGTAGACCTGCAGTAGCGATTAAGTCAGTTCTTAGATAATCAAAGAAGATAAAGTATGTAATTAAATTGTAAAGCTAGAGAGTGTACTTCTTTACCCTTTCATACCTGAGACATATATAATAGTAAAATCTTCCTTGTTGTCCAACATCTGTCCAATCTTACTGCCCGACTACCCTGGTTACCTGAGGTTTGCCCAATCCTATAGCCCGAGTGCCCCAACTGCACAACCCCACGATTATTTTGTTGTCTCCTATCCATATGTACATTACAAATAGGTCCATGTCCTATCAACTATTTTTAGGTCCATTACATCACTATCAATGGTTCCACACATATCAACTGTCTGTAGGTCCATATATGCACTGTCTTTAGGTCCACCTTGTGTACTTGTCTTTAGATCCACCAGATACATTGTCCTTAAGTTCACCAGATGAACTATCCATAGGTCCACCAAATGCATTGTCCTTAGGTCCATCAGATGCACTATCGTTAGGCGAGCATTATCCTGAGCTACCAAGAGGTCTTCTCATAATATTTGACCTATTAGATGTTGTCATCCTGCAAACCAAACTATGTAGGTGAGTCTGGTATGCTCGAGCTATTATGGGTGTGATTGAATATGAATTCAACCGATTATGATCTAATTTTGTTGGTTAAAGTGAGATATTTTGAATAAAGTTAATCGAGTTGATTATTCTGATTTTATAACGAAATAGTACTTAAAATGTCACGATTAAAGTTAATGTGATGTAAAAGTAAGAGAGATATAATTGAAAGTGATATGTATATAATATTATGTGAGTTGACGTGATGTGTGAGGATGATTGATTGATACTATTTAAGTATATTAGTAAAAAGTAAGAGAATTGAGTTGCATTGGATTCCAGAGATATATCGAAGAATTAGTGCCTGGCTAGCAGAAAATTAAAGTTTATCAGAAGTCTGGTCCAAAATTCCTGAAAAATTTGCTTTTTATGATTATATTGGCAATAATCCTGAAAGTCTAATAATGAATTGCACACCTACCTACCTGCGAGTAAGAGAAGAAGGTGACCCCCAAGGGCAGGGGATTTCCTGACATTTTGAATTCGTCCATATCTAATCTCACCCTATATATGTTATATCATTTAGGTCCACCTAATGGACTATCATTAGGTCGACACTGTGGCGAGCTATCGAGAGGACTTCTCATATTCTCCGAGCTATTAGAGCCCGTCATCCTGCAGTCCGAACAATGTACGAGAGGTTGATCTACTCGAGTTGTTATATATGTTATATTATCTAGCTCCCTCACTTTATGAGCAACATAAACTTGTTCGATAATAACAAAAACAATAAGATCGTATTCTATCTCGACCGTTGAAGACCTGCCTCGTACATCGCGTTTATCATTTTAGTTGTCACATCTGTTAAATGCCTCGATTTTTGTACCTTAGATCGCATCTCAATCGTCTTCTCTTATCAAATCCAACAACTATTCCGTAATGACCTAGAGTATAAAATTCCGCATATTTTCGTCAATTGAACTTTCTGCAGTTCTTGTTTTTTTTTTTTTTTCGTATTCTCAAAGAATAAGGAATCTCCCTCTTTCGATTTTTTTGCGACCCCTCAACAGGCTCCGACAACCCACTTCTCAAGTTCCGACGATGACCCTGCTTTGTGTTATTTATCTGCGTTTCTCCACTTTTGTTCTTCGTCGTTTTTTTTTCTTTCTTTCACAATCTAATTTTATTAACACCATCACGACCTCCTTGTTCGGACCAATCCCTAGCTATTATCCCCGTACCCATCACTTTTTTTCCCCACACCCATCACTTCAACTCAACCAATTAGGTCGACCAGACACCTCATAGATTAGCTCGATGGAGAGGTCCCTTGGGATTGTATAGAACAACTTGTAGATACTTATACTTTATAACCACCGGCCTTGCTGGGGCAGTTCCTTTATCTTCTCACGAGCAAAGAGCTTGTGAAGCCCAAAATGCAAGTTAAGTACAACATGTGTCAACTTGCTGAGGTATTTATTATTCACATCATTTACCTCTCGCTGACCTCCTTATACTTGTATAATAAATATCTTAATCTTTTCTTTTTATTTTTCTCAGCTCGTATCCGTACTTGCTCACATTCTCCATGAATTGATCGAGGGCGAAGCTCTTATGGGGGTTATACGAGAAACGTCTAATTTATGCAAATCACCTATTCGTCACGTTTCACAAACTTTGTACAGACTACACGGCCTACGGAGCCGGTTTAAAAATTAAGGCAATGAACAAAAAATGATTAAAGGTATGTTTGGTAAGCCAAATAAGTTAGCTTATAGCTTATTTGGTTAGCTTACAAGCTCCCTGCATTGAAATAAGCCTCGTTTGGTAGGATGAACTTTTTTAAAAAGCTCGAGCTTATTTCATAAGCTACTTTAAGTAGCTTTTCAAATAAGCTAGTTGAATTTTTTATTTCACCTAATTTACCAAACATCTTTTATCATATAAGCTAGCTTTATAGCTATAAGTCATAAGCTATAAACTATAAGCTCAAAAATTACATATAAGCTATAAGCTAGCTTATCAGCTAGTTTTACCAAACATAGCCTAAGTGAGAATTGGTTTTAAATTATTTGGGCTTCCAAAGTTTGGATACAAGTGTAATTTTTCTCCCTCAATAATAAGGCCGTTCCAATTGATCCGGCAACTACAGTCAAACTAAAACCTCTTGGGTAGGGTTTACCGTAAACCCATTCCCCTGTTCCATTTTGGTAATCCTTTCCAATTGAGTAGGAATTCTTGAAACAAACTCCCAATAATGAGATTTCACTCCACACTCCATTTACTCAAAAGCGCCACCGCCACACCACCGTGCCGCCGCTCCTCGTCTTTGTACGATCGCCAATGCCGAGCGTACAACCCATTCCGGCAACCCCCGTTCGCGAGAAAACCCGGAATTTCTGAGCCCCCTTCTCGTTTTTTCACCTACTTTTCGATTATCCGCAGACCCTTTTCGTCTGTATCGTCGGATTCTAAAATGGGGTTTCTGAACTGGTATTTGGGCATGCTTGATGCTCGCCCAATTCTGACGAAAAGCTTATCGTCGGCCATTATTTATGGTGCAGCTGACATTACCTCTCAGGTATTTCCTTTTTTACTTAATAGATTCGCACATTAATTGAACTCGATGTGAGGTTTATTTTCGTTCTTTTATTTAGTTCTTTTTTTTTTTTGCAATCAGAATCACCTGGGATGTTGGTTAAATGAACGATCTTTTGAAATTTCATGGCTTTTTTTGTATATTTAAACAGAAGAAAATCCTATTCCTGATGGTGTGACAATGCGACAGGTTTTATCATCTATGGCCTAAGCTTCTAGAATTTTTTGAAATCATCACAACTTGTGAGGAATTTGAGGTTTTGTAGGATATAACTTGTGTTGATCGATAATTTTGGCCTCAGATGATATATTCTGATCGAAAAACAAACTAGCATGTTATGTGGGATCGAAAGTTACAGGGCTAAATCCCTGCTTTGTCACTGATTTATTGATGTGCCCAACCATTTGATTTTTATAAATTACTTGTTTGTTGAAACTGGTCAGCTAATCACAATGGAGCCTAAGGATACATGGGACTCGATAAGGACGTTGAGAATGGCCGGGTTCGGGCTGATTATTTTAGGCCCGGCACAGCACGTGTGGTTCAATTTCATGGGGAGAGTACTGCCCAAGAGAGACATGGTTACTACCTTCAAGAAACTAGCAATGGGCCAGCTTGTTTACGGGCCTGTGATTAATGGGGTTTTCTTCTCTTTTAATGCAGCCCTACAAGGTATATGCATTATGCAATATCTATTAGTGCATCGATCAAATGGTTTTTTTGTCCTCGAATTTGGAAATATAAGCACAGTACTTAACATTACTTTTTTCCTTTGTTTTTTTTTGGTTGAGTTTAGGAGAAAGTGGAAATGAAATTGCTGCCAGATTGAAAAGGGACCTGATTCCTACTTTGCTAAATGGCCTTATGTACTGGCCACTGTGTGACTTCATGACATACAAAGTCATCCCTGTTCACCTGCAGGTAAAATTTATGTTATCCTCTTCAATCCAATTATATATCTATTATCGTCTGTAAATAAACGGGCAGGTAAAACACTTTAATAAATTCCGGCTAATCATCTATGCTTCACATTAGAGAGCAAATTAGTTTAATTAGATCAATGGAGCATTTCTTTTTTCTTTTTGAGAAGATTGTATGAAGATCAATGGAAGTGCTGATCTTTTCTCGCATTTGCAGCCCTTGGTGAATAGTTCTTTTTCGTACCTGTGGACCATATACTTGACGTACATGGCGAGCTTAACGAAAGCTGTTCCCAACTAACTATTTGTAACGTGGCATTTCACACAATGCCAAATTTTTGAGATGGTCAAGAATAATGACTCTAGTTTCCAGTCGTAAGCAACTTTTGGTAGTTTTCAATCTGTTGAATGGTGTCTTATAGTTTTTTCAAAAAAAAAATTTCAACAACCTGCCGGTAAAGTGTCAATCTCGATCAGTGTTTTAGTCTATGGCTATGTTCAGCTTCCTTTGTCTCTACCTATATATGTTGTGGATGCAGATTGAGTTACATGTTGGTAGAACATATGGTATAATTGAGCCAACATAAACACAATTTACCTCACATTTTTTAGCTGCGCTTTTGTTAGAAAGGAGATGCCCGTCTGTTTTTAATTTCGGTCGACAACATGAGTCCTTCCAATATTTTTTTTTTTTTTTTTT